TGAGAACTCTAAGGATCATCAACTTAGACTCAGTCATCTGAGGTCATGATCCCCAAACTCTTTATCAGGGAGCATTAAAATCTAATAGAACACTAGGTGAAAACAGCAATGAACACTCAGAGCTGAGCAAAAATGAAGAGTTGCATCATCCCCTTGCACTCATGAAGTCCACATTGTGCGCATATTGGTATCTTCTTTTCTGCACTGATCAACTCTTTAGCTGGCCAGGTGCCTGCCACCCTCACAAAGAGTTAGTGAAACATCGGGGCTGATGCCGTGGCTCACTTGGTTAATCCTCCACCTGTGGCACTGGCATCCCATATGGGCACCGGGTTCTAGTCCCGGTTGCTCCTCTTCCAGTCCAGTTCTCTGCTGTGGCCCAGGAAGGCAGTGGAGGATGGCCCAAGTGCTTGGGCCCCTGCATGCACATGGGAGACCAGGAAGAAGCACCTGGCTCCTGGCTTCGGATTGGCGTAGCTCTGGCCATAGTGGCCACTTAGGGGGTGAACCAATGGAAGGAAGACCTTTCTCTCTGTCTCTCTCTCTCACTGTCTAACTCTATCTGTCAAATAAATAAATTTAAAAAAAAAAAGGAGTTAGTGAAACATCGAAGTTGTCTTTAGAAACTGCTGTAAAAGAAGCTTAAACTGATGACAGTGTGCTTACCCAACTCTGGCCCAAAAACTTGGATGAAACTCATCGTGTTTCCTAACATGCCATAGAATAGGCATGGAATTGGACTGTTTTAGTCCCTTCTTCACAGGACCTGAAGGACCAGGCAAAATGAAGGGTGGCAGGAACTCTAAGAGGCTTTCTTTCTTCAGCCCAGTGCCACCTAACTCTCTGGGTCAGAAGCAGCCTCTTGTCCCCTGGTCCCTGCTAAGACTCTCTCATACACTGAGTCCCTGGATAAACGATGGAACAACTTTCCACTTTTAAGGCATGGCAAATCCCTGCAATCTGAAAGTGTTAATTATCATTTACCCCATTCTTCTGTCAGGAGCAAAACTTGAAAGGCCATCAGCAAAAAAAAAAAAAAAAAAAAATCCCATTCCCGTGCATCAGAGAAAACAGGATTTCATTGCCCTGGTCTGCCTTCAATAGCTTTCTGGTTTCAATTAAAACTGCAAGTCTCCAAGGGAAAAACTGGCATTCTGGGAGGCCAAGGCCCAGCCAAGTTTCAGTGTCTCCACAGGAACCCAGAAAGGATGTCCCATCAGGCTGGCTATGTGTCTCTTCTTCTTTCTTTTGCATATTATAGGGAAGCATGGGGCAGAGATGAGGCACAACTAAAAATAATGACCACGTTGTGAGAACTCTCCTCTTTTAGACCTGTGTTTCTGTGCCAGAGAAGTATCAATTTTTCCCCTAATGGAATTCAAAGTTAAGATAACTGCAGAAACAGAACAAGGAACCCAGAGACAAGTGCCTCCACACCTAGTTCTTTCTTCTCCTGCCTCTCCCCACTGATCATTTTCACCTAAACTCTACAAAGATTCCACGCAGTATTGCTCACTATGAGTAACGCAAATACATAACCGGGAGCTTCGTAGCACCAGGGGATGTTGGGTTCCATCAGGGACACAGCCAGGATTCCCCTCTGGGAAGTCTGCAACTGGGCCTCCTGGCACAGCCTTCCTATGTAACATTCTGATGTTAGCATACAAAAGATCAGATTACAACCCTTCACTTGCCTGGCCCATTCATGCACATATAAGGCAGTAGATATTTTCTGCCAAGCCAGAAGTGGCCCCCTTCCTGGCCAGCCAATACTGCTGCCTCTTGGATGCTCCTCCTTAGATTGACTACTAGTCGTCCCTTCCCCCACCTCTGGTTTGTTTATCCCAGTGACACATCTCTCCCCCCCACCCCCAAGAGAGACAAGTCCCTTTCCCTCTTCTGGCTCCCAAAGGCTTTGCTCACCACCTCCTGGCATGTTTAGCTCAGGTTACTATAGTGGCCAGCAGCTCCCACAACCCAGCTCCAACACCAACTCAACTTCTCAAGACCAAGACTTTTTGGTTCCTTAATGAGGGAGAAGGTTGTGTGCCAAGCAGCATTCTGAGTACCAGGTCTCCCTATCTTCTGACACTACACACCCCACCCTAGCCTGCAAATACTCCATGTTCAACAATACTTGATATCTTCCTCCCTGCTTGGCCCCCAACTCTCCTTTCTCATTCCCTTTTCTGGAAACAGGCAATGCATTGAATGCACAGTACCTTCAACTTCCCTCTAAAACCTGGGAATCCCAGGTCAGAGCAGAAGAGATAACCTTTCCCTCCCTTCCCCCAGGCGATTAAGGGTGGAAGCCACAGAAATCAGGGAGAAGGGGTGGGAGTGACCTGGGAGTGTAAACTGGGTACATCTTCAAGTGCTACAAACTTTCTCCTCCCTCACATGCCCCTGGCCAGCTGGCCCCGCCTTCCCATCCCAGCCAAACAAAATCCCACTGGGGTGTGTGAAGGAAGCACTCCAGGGCACCCAGGTCTGTCCCAAGTTGCAGAAGTGGCCTGCACAGACAACACCCTTTCTCTCCAAACCCCTCATCTCTGCTCCCTGCCCCCACTGAACGCAAACATACCTTGCTAATGCAGAGGAGTCTGGGTCAGGACCCAAGAAATCTACCTGTGAGAACCACAGGAGGGCAAAAAGCATGGGCCCAAGGGGTGTGGGGAATTTTTTTTTTTTTTTTGACAGCTACTCTATGAAATTAGCTTTTAGTACAAACCTACAGCAAAAGAACATAAACAGGATGAAGGGTGAAGGAATGAAAAGGGAAAAGAATGTAAGAGACAAACAAGTAATATCTGTATTTCCTTAGAGACCATAGACTGCAGGCAAACTTTAGGGAGAGAGGTGTGGCTGGGGAGGGGGCAGCAGAAGGTGGCTGGGAAGGAAAAGTCACTTCTAGAATGGCAGGATACCCTGCCCTTGTGGAGGGGAGTTTCTGTGGCCATAAAGAGACACACAAACGGCCCTTTTAGCATTAGACCTCAACCGTGAGATTATCAGGACAGTTTATTTGAAACGGAAACGAATCGGAAATCCTTCCCTCAACAGTCCTTTCAGACTGATAGACACTCAGAATCCCGCACGCACGGACACACATAAAGAACAAAATGCAGCATCCGGAGGCAGTAAGAGCTCCCTTGCCGCACTCTCAGTTCCTCCAGCCTCATCTCCTACTTGCAACGGCACAACTTTCCGATCTCCAATGAAAATATTTCCAGTTGGATCCGATTTCAGAATCGTAGTAAGCGGTGTGGGTGGGGGGAGGAGGGGAACTGGTAGTGTGCAGGGGAGGGGGCTGGCAGACGGCATTTCAGCAGTAACTTATTTTTTTAGAACCAGCATGCTCTACCGATCAGAATTTGCAATTACCCAACAATGCTTCCATCACAAACAGACACCCAAACCAGCATCACCGTCATCACCATCTTGCTGAAGATCTGCGCGGTCCAGTTTCCCTGACTTTGTCTCGGTGGAACTTCTCAGACAGTATTTTGGTCGAAGAGATAATGGTTTGAAAGACAAAAACAATAAATCGATACTGAAGGGCTCCCTTTCCGGAGCGATTTCCCCCTGGAAACCACCGAAGGGGGAAGCCTGCCGTTTAATTCCCAAGCCCAGGGCACACAATGCGTGCTTTCAAAAGGGCATTCGTCTGCTTTTAAGGGAATTCCTGTCTTTTCAGAGTCCCCAAACCAGAGAGCACAACAGACTCAAATCCATTGATTAAGGTTTCCGAGAAAAAAGACTAACACACAGCCACGACACAAGCACAAACCAACCTTCGCCGGCTGGACCACTTCTCGCCTGATCTTCTTTCTATTAACGACACGTTAGATTCTGATACATGCCACCCCCCCAAAAAAAAATCCAACTAGGCTACAATGTAGCTCTCTAGCTCCACTTAACCTGCAAGTTACAAAGAGAGCAAAAAAAAAAAAAAAAAAAAAAAAATATCCTGCCGCCTTCCCACCCCTTTTCCTATGTTCCTACCCCCTCCCCCTCCCGGGTCCGCTCTACCAACGCCAGCCCAAGCAGCCGGCTGCAGGACCGAGGGAGGGTGCAAAGGCGGGGTGGGGGTGGGGGATCAGATTAGGCGAAACTCAATGAGCTCCTAGCCCGACTCTTCCACCATCGCCGCCACCAACGGGCCACTCGGATGGAGCCAGCATCGCTGCCCACCCGCGGGCCGGCCGGAATCGCGCCCCTCCCCGGCAGACTCGCCGGGACCGGCATCCCGCCCCCTCGGCCCCGGCTGCCCCTTCCTGCTCGGTGCAAAGTCAAAGCCCCGGCGAGACCAGGCGAGGCAACGTGAACTTTTGCATGCAGGGCGCGCGCACACACACACACACACACACTCACACACATTCACACACTCACACACACCACCCCGGGCCCGGGCGTGCGGGGGCCCGCGGCGCGGCGGGAGGCTGCGCGCCGGGGCTCCCGGGGCAAGGTCGCCGCGCGTGCTCACCCATGTCCCGGCGGCTCCGGCTCCGCTGGCCCTGGCGCTCGCTCAGATCCCGGCTCCGGTCGCTCGCCGGAGCCCCCAAAGGTGCTGCTGCGGCAACTCCATGGCGATGAGCATCTGTCAAACGGCGAGCCGCGGGGCGGGCCGCCCTCGCTCGGGGGGCTGCGGGGCCCCCGGGCGCGCGGAGGCGGCGGCGAGCGGCGGGCGCCCCGGCCGGCCCCGCGCTTCCCGCCCGGCGCGGCCGCCTCCGCCGCGCCACCGATTTATGGAGAGAGATATCAAGGGGGAAAATGGCGTCTCCGGAGCCCGAGGAGTCCTGGAGTAATCACATTCACACACACACACACGCCCGTACGCACACACTCGCTCACACTCGCACACGGGCGCGCGGCGGGCCCGGCTAATTTTAGCAGGAGCCAAAAAAAATTGTATATATATATATAAATATATAAATATATCCCCGTCTCTCCGATCAACGCTATTTCCACCACCTCCCCCCCCCCCTTGTCTTCAAAGGATGGGTTGGAGCTTTAAAAATGTTGCTGGGTTTGGGCTCGCAGGAGGCGGCGCGCGGAGGGCGAGGGCGCTTTTGCTGAGCTGTGCAGTTCGGTCCGCGGCGCCCGGCGGCCCTGCCCGCTCTCCGCCCGTCCGCCCGCGGTCGCTAGTGCTGCCGCCGCCGCCGCCGCCGCCGCTCCATGGCCGCGCCCGCCCCGCGCCCCCTTGCCGCCCGCCCGCCCGCGTCCCCGGCGAGAGCTGGAGTGGGGTCGGGCCCGTGTGCCTGCCTCCCGCGCCCTCTCCCGAGTCCCAGAGTCTTGGTGAAAGGAAGGGGGAGGGCGCGGGCGGGGAAGGGGGGGAGGATCGGAGCGGCCGCGCGGCAGAGGCGAGCGGGGACCGCCACCCCGCCGGCCGCCTCGGAGGGGGCGCCGGCGCCCACGCGGCTGGCCCCGCGGGCCCGGGGCCGCTTCTCGGGCGGGAGCCGGTGGAGAGCGACGAGCGGCCGCTCCCCTCACCTCCCCACCCCCGGGGAATCTCGGTCAATTGGAGGGAGCGGGGTCTAGCCGTGAAGGAGGAGGGAAACAGTTGGTGGCGGCCGATCGGGAGCCCCTCGCCGCCCCCCGCGCCCCTAGCGCTCCCCAGCGCCCTCGCGGCCCAGTGGCTTCTGCGCGTCGGAGTCAGCGGCGGAGACTGAGCGGCCGTGGGGAGCGCCTCCGGCTGGGCGCGGGCTGCCGGGCTCAACACCGCCACTGTCTGACACAACAGGGGCAGTGTCGCGGGAGCCGCGCGTCCAGGCGCCGACGTGGTAGGCTCTCTCAACTGGGCGCAGCGTGGTTGCTTTCTTTCTTTTAAGCGGGTCATGAGGCTTCCTTTCCAGGGTTGGTTTTACTTTATTTGTGTATTGTGTTTTAGTAAGCTACTTGTAGGCATCGGGTCCTCGTGTCATTTTTTCTCGTTATCCACCACAGTTAGACTCTTGCAGGGAAGGGCACGGATGGCAACCTCGCAGCTCCCTCCCTGATCCGGGTGGTGGGGATGTCTTTGGTGCTTGGCAAAACGTGGCGGTTACTTTTAGTCTCTGGGCATTTCTGTTGGGGTTACAGAAGGGGCGCTTTTCGGGCCAAGGGAAGAATGGAGAAGCTTAGGGACGCTGTGCGCTCCATCAGCTGACTGAGGAAGACTCACAGAGACCTGCAAAGGGCTATGCTTCCAGATCTCCAGGTAGAGGTCACTCCGAACGCAGGCAGCTGAGTTTGACCATGCCTTTCTCTGTGAGAGTTGGGTGAAACTGAGAAATGTTTGGGTGGTGAGTGGGGGGCGGCCCCCTAGCAACCACATCAGCCACTGCCAACCCCGCTTGGCTACAGGGTTGAATTCTGTCGGACGACCTCTTTTTTTCTCTTTTTTACCGGAATGCTCTGGAGCAAGGGAGAAAAAGTGGCTGGACCCCCGCCCCCCCCCCGCCGCACCTCCCTCTCACGCACACACTCACACACTGGTCCACGCCCCCGGGTGTCAGTCAGGGTTTTGCACAACAATTTATCCCCTTCTAACTCAAATTATCCTCTTTGTTGGGAAGAATGTTCTGACTGGCCACAAACTTTGCCTCCCTTACTCATCACTGCAAGACCTCCAATGGAGCAAGATTTCCTCTGTTCTGCGCTGTGTTGAAGCATAACTATTAATGAGAAAATAATGCTTCATTGGAAAAAATTCAACAAGACATAGGAGCTGATGATGAAAGAAGAGCTGAAGGCACACAATACTATGCCAAAATGACCTCGGTAATCACCTGACCTTTGCCCATCTACTTGTGCGTCCGGATTTCTGATACCCAAGACCAAAGTAGGCAGAGGACTAAGAGTGTGCACCATTGATGCAAAGCAGAAAGTGCGTCCAGAAATCAGAAGGGTTGGCTTGCATCGTGTGAGCCAGAACTGAAGTTTGTTGCCCAAGTCTTTTTCCTTTTAAAATTTAAGCATGTTAACAGGATTGTCCTTCCTGTGGTGTTGTGTTTCTTTGGAGAGAAGTTCAGAGAAGTGTGCGCTGTATTTAAAAGTCTCTGTAATAATGGTAGATCTGTCTGTTGAATCATAGTGCAATAAAAGTTCACCCTCGAGTATCACCAAGTCAAATCCCATCATCTCTAAGTTGAGGAACCAGGCAAAGAGATTCAATAGACTTCCCTGAATCATTAAGTTCAGCGAAAGCCATGAATCTGCTACATGTGCCTGGACTTCTCATCCAGAGTTTCTTCTTTATGTGTAGCCCATCTCCCAATGATTAGAAGTGAGAGGAGGGCAAGGAAAGGAGGGATCTTCTCCTTCTTTTAAAAGTGTTATATATGTAAAAATAATACTGTATACCTGCTAATATATAATAAGGTAATGCATAAATATAGTTTTAAATAGGATTGCTAAAAACCAAAGCTCCGGCCGAATGATATGTCTGTTTATAGAATAGGAGCTGTATTTAAATTCTAGCCAAGTTCCACAGAAATTCTTCTCATATTATTTCCCTAGTAGGTCATTTTTTAATTCAGAATGAGACCCTGAAACATAGAAAATCTATAGCTGGTAAAGAAGTTGGGTTAAAAATAGTGTCGGGCAATGTTAAGGGACTGATTTTTGGGATTCTAGGATCATTTAAAAAAACAAAAGGCTGATCTGAGCACCTTTTAGGAATGTACATGACATAGAGACATAGACATAACTAAGAGTCCTGTACTTTCTCTAGTGTCAGGATCATGCAGTCCCTTAACAAATAGTTCAGCGGCATGGATAATGTGCCAGGTCCTATGGTTGTAACCATAGTCAAACACAAGACTAAGACACAGTTCCTATCTTCACAGGATTCACGACTTAGTAGGAAAGTTGATATGCAAACTTTCCAGCCACAACTAGTAAGGGGCTATCAGAAAGGAGGTGCTTAAAAGTGCACAGAACACAGAGGCAGAAGCTGTCAGAGGAGGGGAGTCACAAATCATGTCCTTTAGCAACGTTGAGCACTTATTGCCTTGTGTATTTTAACACATTTCCTTTTCCTCTTTGCATAGATGTGTCTCATCTAACCTGTTTTATCAAGGATGCACGCGTTGACAAGGATGCCCTGTGACTTGCATGGACAGTGTCAATAAATGTGGCTGAGAATAGACATCACTTCCGATATCATGAAATAGCTGCCTTGCTGCCAACTGAATGATTACTCTGTGTTCCAGGCCTCCATGTGCCTAATCTTTTGTTATGCCAACCACTCCCTTACCCAGGGCCATTTGCTGAAGACAGTGCAAGGATCTGCAGTATTATCATACTCCACCGGTCTTGAGGACTCAACATATGGTTCAAAGTACCACAAGAAGACATGTCATTTTGACATCTCTGAAGGTAGTTAGAACAAAATGAGGCAAACCATCCATTCCACTTTGGTGACAAGTTGAGATCATGTACTACAATCAAAGGCTCCAAGACATTCTCCTTCCTTTCTCAAGTTCAAATACAATGTATTTTTTATTTTATTATTTTGACAGGTAGAGTTATAGACAGTGAGAGAGAGAGAGACAGAGAGAAAGGTCTTCCTTCCATTGGTGCACTCCCCAAATGGCCGCTACAGCTGGCATTGCATCGGCCTGAAGCCAGGAGCCAGGTGCTTCTTCCTAGTCTCCAATGTGGGTGCAAGGGCCCAAGCACTTGGGCCATCCTCCACTGCCTTCCTGGGCCATGGCAGAAAGCTGGACTGGAAGAAGAGCAACCAGGACTAGAACTTGATGCCCATGTGGATACTGGCATCACAGGCAGAGGATTAACCAAGTGAGCCATGGAGCCAGCCCCTCAAATACATTATTGATTCTCACCTTTTTGGAAAACAATGTAGCATTACCTAATGTAGTATTCTCAAGAATGATTATAAAACAAAATTTCCTGAGCAAATTAATTATGTCTGGAATCCATCATGATTTGATTAGATTTGAGTAGACCCAGTATCACTACCATTTTCATAAATGTTCTCAATGCTTCTGCATATGCAACAAGCACTGAGAATCACTGATCCATTGGAAAGGGTATGCATCCACAATGCTCTCTTAGTATAGATATTATTTTTTTATGGTTTTTTTAACTTTTATTTAATGAATATAGATTTCCAAAGTACAGCTTATGGACTACATTGGCTCCCCCCCCACCCATGACTTCCCTCCCACCCGCAACCCTCCCCTTTCCCGCTCTCTCTCCCCTTCCATTCATATCACGATTCATTTTCAATTTTCTATATATACAGAAAATCAGTTTAGTACTTAGTATAGATATTATTAATAGAAGGTGTACCTAACCAAAGGAGGTGACAGCCACATGAGCTGTGTAGTGATTGGGTCATAGTTGGAGGCTGGAGGCAGTTCAGTTCTGGAAATGTAGAAATTGAGAGTATGCTACATAATGCAATGAAAAGAACACAGACCAGGCCGGTGCCACGGCTCACTAGGCTAATCCTCTGCCTTCCGGCGCCAGCACACTGTGTTCTAGTCCCGGTCGGGGCGCTGGATTCTGTCCCGGTTGCCCCTCTTCCAGGCCAGCTCTCTGCTGTGGCCAGGGAGTGCAGTGGAGGATGGCTCAAGTGCTTGGGCCCTGCACCCGCATGGGAGACCAGGAGAAGTACCTGGCTCCTGCCTTCGGATCAGCGTGGTGCGCCGGCCGCAGAGCGCCAGCCGTGGCGGCCATTGGAGGGTGAACCAACGACAAAGGAAGACCTTTCTCTCTGTCTCTCTCTCTCTCACTGTCCACTCTGCCTGTCAAAAAGACAAAAAAAAAAAAAAAAAAAGGACCACAGACCAGAACATTAAGGAGATTTAGCTTCAAGTTTATTTGGCAAGTCCCCTCATCTCTTCATCTCTCTGCCCAATTAATTTCATTTCTGAAGACAGAGGGGTACTGTAAAGTTCTTTGAGGTCCAGGCTGGCATTTGCTCTGTCTTAGGTTCAAGGACACAACAGAAATCTAGCAGGGTGGTGAAACCATTTGGGGACCAGTCAGAGTGGGATGTGAAAGCTGTCCTTAAATGTAAGACCAGCATCAGAGAAAATACTGATTCATTTGCTTAACTCTGCTCTGGAGGGGAACCACAAACCCCAATCAGCTGAGGTTATGGAGAAACAGATCTCAACTCAATGTAATGAAACTGCTGATTGGACAGCAGATGAAAACAAATCTTCTTAAAGAGTAATGGACTCTCTTCTCTTAAGTATTTCAGGGAAGATTAGGTACCTTTATTTTTCTATTTCCCTCAACCCACAGGCTATGAACTCTTTGAAGTCAAGGGATTTGGACTGTACTTCTGTATCTTCACTTGGTAACATTGTACCTGGAGCTCAGTAAGAGTTGGTGAAATGTTAAAAATATTTAACACATGATATGACATGGAACCCATCCATCAGAATACTGCTGACACATAGCCCTGCTCAGCCAGGTGCTATCTCATTAGTTTTTAGATCTTGGAGTTTCAAGAAGGACAGAGTGACATACTGAGGGACCTGGAGGTGAGTGTGGAGCAGTAGTTATTTTAAAATTCTAATTTTAAACACCATCATGCCTATCAGTGTGTATTGGATGAACATCAGTCCTGCATCATGGATGAATTAACGAATCAATCAATCAATCAAGGATGCTGTATAGAAATAAAACATGACAGATTGGATTCTAGTCTTGCTGTGCCATTAACTGGCTGGGTGGAGCTGAGTAGACAACTTCAGTCCTCTCTACCTCAGTTTCTTCCTCTATAAATAGAACCATCATCTTACCCTAAGCCTAAGATATCAGTCATCATGAAGCTCACAGGAAATATCACATGTAAAATTATATTACAAAGTCAAATAAGTCTGTTCAAATACTTGTTTTGATTATTAAAATATGATGTGAACAGTTAAGTGACTCCCTCCAAATGCAGCCTAATTCAACTGCCTCTCAGGTAAACATAGTATCTTTCTCCCTCTAGGTAGTGAGAAAGTAATTTCCACTCCTGATTTCTCCCACCCAGCCCCACATTGGAAGGGGCTCCTCTTTCCACTTCCTTCTTTCAATGTTACTTTGGTTGCTTAGCAACAAGAAGAAAATGTAATTGTCCCAAGAAGAGAACTCCAGGTCTGAGAACAACTGGATTATAGTTTTGGAAACTTTGTCTTCCTGACTGCAAGGAATTCACTAAAGGAAGATTTCTTGGCACATGGTTCCTTGTGAGGATCCTCTGAGAGAGTGGCTTTCACTATCTGAAGGCAACAAGGGGAGGAGGGAAGGAGGGAAGGAGCATTCTTCTGGGTTTTTATTTCCTGGCTCCTTAGCAGATTTGTTGTCACTGTGACTTCAGAGCGCCCCACATCTGCAGCAGGGCTTGAGATGTTCCCAATTCCTCACTGAGCCTTATGTTATATCATGCTACAGGCATAAGAGCTAAAAGGAGATCTCAGAGAATACCACAGGAAGATGAGACTTTTCATTTTCCCTAAAAATGTGTGGGCCACAACAGACACATTGATACACAGGAAGGTGTTGCAAGGATGACTTAATCAAATTTAGGTGGAGTTCTTAAAAGGATACAGGCAACCTTGAGGAAGGCTGGTACAGCAAATACAGCCAGGCCTCTTGGAAATTGGGAAGTTGCCAGCTCCTCTTTCTTACCCTGCTGTGTCACATTGATCCCTGCCTGAGCTTCTTTGAACCTCTCTCTGTGTCCTTTCAGAGACAACATTTACTTTTGATCTCTTTTTGTGACCATCTTGTTTTTGCTTCTTTATAATGTTGGCTTATGTGGGTCTGTAGTTTCTCTCATCTCCTGTGACAACTCTCAACTGTTTTGGCCATCATTTCTGTTAACTGGCTTCCTCATAGAAAGGGATCTGATTGCCTCCCAGTGATCCAAGGTGCAGTCCATGACCAAGGCCAATAGACGATGTGCCCATGGTCCATCAGACAAGCCCTTCAGCAGGACCACAAGGAATGTCCCTACAACGGGGCATGGACAAGATTGGCACTCCTGTTGTGTTTAAAGTGAAGAGAAAAGCCCACTGGAAAATTAAACTATTTGCAACACCAGGGTCATCTTGTACAATGAGAAGATCTTGGATTTAAAGTTAGAAAGGTTGGGCTTGACCCACTCTGAGGAAAACTGCTTAAGCTACCTCTGAATTTTACTTTCTTCATCTGAAAAATGGGCCTGATAGTGGCACCAACTCTTTAGGGCTTTAGTGAGAATTAAATGCAGTTATATGAGATAATGTATAGAAAGAGCCTGGATGGTTAAGATTTGCTAGGTGCTAGGAGAGGGTATGAGATTAATAGTATATATTTATCACTAGACTTTTATTGAGAACCCACTATATTTGGCATTAACTTGGTCCTATGGATAGGCAAACTATTAAGACATGTTCTTTACCTTGCAAACTTCCAGTCTGGTAAAAGAGGTTCATGCAATGTACAAACCAGGAATGTCTTTCTATCTACTTTATTCCTACTGGTTGAACCTGAGAGAAAGTCTAGCTTATTAACATTTTTCTCAAGGCCAGCTCTTGCTGTTAATAGCAGGATAGTCCTCTGTTGCAGCTCTTTCCTGCCGTCATGCAGCTTGCCATCCATTTTAGCACATGACTTTACATATGAACCATAAGAAAAGCCCAAGAGAGAGGATACCTGCTACTGATAAATATAAAAACACAGAAAAGATTCCCTTATAGAAGAGTGTCTATCCACTTGCTGTTATGAAGCTAAGGGCAGAAAAAAAGAGAGATTCAAATAAGACATAATTAAGACAAAAGCCTTTATGGACTTTTTTATGCTCTGAAAAAAATAAAATAGTACATAGAGATGAAATTGAGTAGTTCAATTTAAATAACCCAGTTTTGCCACAGAATGTTTTATAAGCATGTGGAATTGTCAACCTATTATTGCTAGTTTGAGTTGGCTTTTGGTTTGATTAACTTCATGTGAGCATGAAATACTTAGGCAGGGGGAGGACAGCTTCTAGAATGGTATAAGAATGGCCATGAGTAAACATCAATTTGAGCCCTGCTTTCTGGACAATGGGTTTATTCCAAGCTCTGAGGTTAGAATCTAGAATCATTCTTTGACTCTTGGTGGTTGAGCTATTCAAGTCTGTGGATGTATCGAATATGGTATTGTAGATCCCAATATTAAATACATCTTAAACAATGTCATTTGATTCAACCCCAGTTCCAAATAACTCAGCAGCTGGGGAAAGCAAGAAAAATTGCTCAGAGTGACACAGCTAGGAATTATGAGAACAAAGATTTGAAACCTAATAATCTAACTCCAGAGCCCACCCTCTTATTCATTGCACCATCCGGCTACCGATTGCAGTATTGCCTGGCCAGGAAGCAGCAGACACCTGGGTACTTCTTACAGCACCTCTTTAGAAAGTATTGAATGAGCATGCTGATTTCAGTTTTCTAAGCTAAATGAATCACAGTAGCATTGAAGCTTCAAATTGTAGATCTGGCAGGTTAGTTAGTGGTCATTTGGATCAAACAGTTTACTTCAGAAATGAGAGAAAACTGAGAATCAGAAAGATAAACACAAGGGTAACATGGCCTGATTTAGAAACCAATACATTGCACTGTAGTTCCAGAGCTCTCCCCATGACAGCCAGGTGTCAAGACTTGGCTATACCCTCTGTAGATGAATCCAGACTAGGAAAAAAGAAACTAGGAGTTTCAGCAAATGGAAATCTCAATGAGACTGCAAAACAAAGATATCTGGACATGTTCTCTTTGAGAAAATAACTTGGCATACTCTTTTGTGATTATCCATTTTCAAATAAAATTGTGGTCCAAAGGAAAGAAAGTAGGGTTGAAAGCTCCACATTTAGGCAAATATTATCTTAGCAATTGCTCAAATTTTTATTTTATAAAATTGATAATAATAAAGTGTTTTGGAGAAAAGGGTAAATGGAAAAATATTTTGAGAGGTTAAGCATAAGCCATATATATAAAGCTATATATGAAGTATTTCTGAAAATAGAACACTTTTGTAAACCAAAATTGATTTTTATAATGTCATATATTCATAGGGAAAGATGTTGAATCTGTCCACCAATTTATCCATTCACTCACCCACTCATCCATCAATATTAAACGACAACAATATCTAGCCAGGGTAATACTTTCAAAGCAAATAAGAGCATGTAATATTTGGTTTCTAGTCTTCAGAAAAGTTGATTGAAGAAGACTATGAGTTCAGTTGAGTATACTAGCATGCCACTTTTCTTATTCAGATCCTCAGTTAATTTTATCAAGATCATCTACTTCTGCACATCTCCAACAGTTTCCTAAATGAGCAAGTTCTCTCAAAGACAATATTATAGAAGCACGCAATGTTGTGGAAGTCCATGTTACTGTCTGTAATTAGTCTCTATTGTCCATTGTTTGAAATTAGAAAAATCTGAAGTGTACAAAGAATGTCCATTCAGGCCCTGTGTGAAAATTTTTGAACAATTAAATTGTGTATGTGTATATTTCCATCCTTGTCCTCAATTTCTCAATAGACAATTTCATTTCTGTGAAAAATGAGATAATATGAATAAAGGACTGACCTGTGTCTGACACAGGAAGGTGAGTAGGAAAGTGGGAGTGACTTCCACATCACCTAGATTATTTTTCTTTATTCTACTACAGCTTCTTCAAGTCACTCAAAATTATTTTTATGATCATCTATTAACCTCTAGAAATTATTACTATCTATGTTTATTATTTTGGCCACTGGAGCAATCTGAGTACAGCTATGGTAGTCATACATAATGCAAGTATCTCTAACCAGTATGCTAATTTTTAGAGAACAAAGGAAAAATTAAATAAAAAAATTAAAGTCTTGCTTAAACTTAATGCACAAGATAAAATGTTGGCTTGTTTATATATGTTTTTCTTTAAATAAGGGTATCCCTTTATGAAGTTAGTGGCTAAGTCTTTTGTCTAGTGTGAAACACAAGATTGATAAAGAACAATTATATTTCTTATCTCAGGATTCATAAATTATTATTTATGCCAGGGCAAGTGTGAAGAGGGCCAGACTTAGTGTTGGGTCTATTAAGAAGGTGTGGCGGACTTTGGAGGAAGAACTTACTGAAAGCAGTAGATTAATCAGATAAGCAGAATAAGCTCTGGATGATATCAATGTCACCACTGAGATAAAGGGTCAAAGATAAAGTTGTAGTTGTGCCAATACACAGGCAGAACACTGGGCTGGTGAATTGATGGGAGGCAAAACAATGCAGCTAACATTTGGGAGATCTACTCATGGTCCTGAGAGAAGGAAAAGATTATAAAAGTAAAGCTGAAGCCTAGCTATGGCAAAGGGGATACAAGACAAGTCAGATCATTGGAAATAGTGGCCTTCATAGAGATTAAAACAAAAGTGGAGATGTGTGAACTCACTGTTGGGTGCTGATGTTCAAGAAGGTATCTCTGATTCTGAAACTCAAGTGGAGAGACCCTGAAACTTTAGTGGAGAGATCCTGATGGTGAGTATGGGGCCACTGTAGGAAGTGAGTGTGTTCAATGTTCAGTATAGGAATAAGGCTCTCCTGGCAAAAAGTCAAATATTCAAAAACCACGTTATATTAAGCTGTTCCAACGCTGCTTGTGACGTGATCAGATTCTAAGTATTGTCCCATTTTTTCAACGGGAAAAAAAGGAGAATTAAGACTACTTAAAGGGCAGAGACGGGGCTGGTGTTGTGGCACAGCAGGTTAACACTCTGGCCTGAAGCGCTGGCATCTCATATGGGTGCCACTTCAAGACCTGGCTGCTCCACTTCCGATCCAGCTCTCTGCTATGGCCTGAAAAAGCAGTAGAAGGTGGTCCAAGTCCTTGGACCCCTGCACCAGCACGGGAGACCTGGAGGAAGCTCCTGGCTCCTGCCTCCTAGTTTCGAATCAGCACAGCTCCTGTTGTTGCGGCCAACTGGGGAGTGACCAATCGGATGGAATACTTCTCTTTCTCTCTCTACCTCTCCTCTCTCTGTGTAACTCTAACTTTCAAATAAATAAAATAAATCTTAGAAAAAAAGGGCAGAATGAGAGTATTTCAGGCATGGAAAGCCAAGACACTCTGGGGGAAAAAAAAAAAAAAAACTAAATGAAAGATCTCCGTGAGTGAGATCCCAGTGGAAAGAATGGGTCATCAAAGAAGGAGGTACCTTTCTCTGAAGGGAGGAGAGAACTTCCACTTTGACCATGGCCTTGTCTAAAAATGATCAGAGTCAGTGAACTCAGGGGCCTTCCATAGCCTTGGCAGCTCATGACAAGAGCCTAGGGTGATTACTGATGCCATAAACAAGAGTGTCAATTTGTTAAGTCAACAACAGGAGTCACTGTGCACTTACTCCTCATGTAGGATCTTTGTCCTTAGTGTGCTGTACATTGAGATTTAATGCTATAACTAGTACTCAAACAGTATTTTTCACTTTATGTTTCTGTGTGGCAGCAAACTGTTGAAATCTTTACTTAATGTAAGCTAAATTGATCTTCTGTATATAAAGAGAATTGAAAATGAATCTTGAAGTGAATGGAAGGGGAGAGGGAGTGGGAAAGGGGAGGGTTGCGGGTGGGAGGGACGTTATGGGGGGGAAGCCATTGTAATCCATAAGCTGTACTTTGGAAATTTATATTCATTAAATAAAAGTTTTTAAAAAATAAAAAAAGAAAAAAAGGGCAGAGATTTGGCTTAGCAGTTGCAATGTTGGTTAGGACTCTCCCATCCCAAATTGGAGTACTTGGATTCTGCTATGAGCTCTGGCTCTTGACTCAAGCTTCCTGCCACCCATGTAGGAGACCTGGCTTGAATTCTCTGCACCTGGTTTCTGTCCCCTCGCTGTTGTTGGCATTTGGGGAGTGAACCAGAGAATGAGAGTTCTCTTTTTCTCTTTCATAAAATATTTTTTTAAAAAGACACTACTTAGGTTCTTCCGTAAATCAGATTATTGATGCCTAGAGTGGGAACAAAATTTATTTCAAGATTAATATGTCTATAATATAGAAATAGAGAAGACACAAGCAGTAGTATTTAGGTAACAGGGCAAGATACAGTGCTGAAAAATTCCTTGTAAATTGTAAAGACAATTTTGGAAATATTAGTAAAGAGCTCCTGTTGAGCTAGTTGGCCAAATCTATTATTTTGGAAAAAAATAAGAATTATTGTGTTCACTTGTATAAATACAAGTGTTCTGTCTTGCCCAGGAGATTTGACATGAATCAGGGAAAGAAATAAGCACTTTGCTTCAGTTATTTCCAACTATTTGTTGGATACTAACTACTGCTAGAGATGTTCCTTGCCATAGAGTTTCTTTTTTCCACAACTCTTTCCTAATATTTAATCCTTTCCCCAATCATCTACATAAACTGCTTTTCATATTTATTTCTAATCTCTTTCTGTAGGGTCTAAATCAGATATTTATCTGCCTGACCCTTATCACTGTGATTAAGGTCTTCAAGAAACATGGTCTCTCTCTCTCTCTCTCTCTCTCTCTCTCACACACACACACACACACACACACACACACACACACAGATTTATAGTCAGGAGACTGCCTTGGATGGAAAGAGAAGCTCAGAGAAGGAGAGAACATTCAAGATTCCTGGCCAGAGGAGGTAGTAGCTTATTTAATCACCTTCACAGTAGTGGGTAGCAACCTCTAATGAGACTCCCTCCCCACCTCTATCCCTGTTCATTCTGTTATTCATTTACCTCTAATATGCATCCTTCTACATAAGTTTCAACTAGCTAATTAGAAATTGGGTGTAAGATTTAGAACAATTTATATGAAGCTTTAAGTTACATGGGAGGATAAATAGATTTTCACTTCTGTTTATGATGGAATGGCTGGTATAGTAGTTACTCACCTGTTCAGAACAAAGCACCTCTATTTGAAGACATTTGAGAGCAACAAAAGAAGCTAAAACACTAAGTTTCAAGTCCCCAAAAGAAGGAAAATTCATTAATGAAAACCTGATATTCATAACTACTTCTTCCCTTGAGGCATTTGCTGACTCAGAAGACTCACATGGAACAAGAGTCTAAGAAACCAAGCAGAAAGTAGAAGCTAAAAGGTGGGAAAGATCAGCACATTCTGATTACAACTAAATCTGGGAGGCTGAAAACTGTAGTGAAAGCCTTCCAAGCCAGCCAGGACTTGGTGGGCCAAATTCAAAGAGAAGGGAAAAACACAGGGAACTAAGCACTTGCATTGTTTTTCCATTTTTTAAAGATTTATGTATTTATTTGAAAAGGAGAGATGCAGAGAGAGAAAGAGAGAGAGGGAAATCTTCCATCTGCTTGTTCACTCCCCAAATGGCCACAATGGCCAGGGCTGGGCCGGGCCAAAGCAGGAGTCAGGTGCTTTATTTGGGTCACCCTCGTAGGTGCACAATCCCAAGAAGTTGAGCCATCTTCTGCTGCTTTCCCAGATGCATTAGCAGGGAACTGGATTGAAGTGCAGCAGCTGGGACTCAAACTGGTGCCCATATGGCATACCAGTACTGCAGGTGGAGGCTTAACCTTCTATGCCACAGCGTCAGCCCCATTGCTTTTTCTCTTGAGAAATGTGATGATTCCTAAGAAGGATGTAGAAAGAGGATGAGGGATCAATGAAAGACATACCAAAAGGCTCCAGAACTAAACACGGTTTTCGAAGACCAAAATTATGGCAAGTGATGTACATTATGGTGCAGCAGGTTAAGCCACTGCTTGGGACACCTGCATCCTATATTGGGGCAATTTGTTTGAACAACAGCTGCTCCAAGTTTCTGATCCAGCTTCCCTCCTTTGTACCTGAGAGGCAACAGATGATGGCCCAAGTACATGGATTCCTGACACCCATGTTGGAGACATAATGGAGTTCTTGGCTCTTGGCTTTGATCTGGTCTAGCCCTAGCTGTTGTGAACACTCTGGGGAGTGAATCAGAGTGTGGAGTCTCTCTCTCTCTCTCTCTCTCTCTCTCTCTCTCTCTCTCTCTCTCTGTGTGTGTGTATGTGTGTGTGTGTGTGTCTGTCTGTCTTTTAAATACATAAACATAGGTATTTTTAATGATGGAAAGAAGAAAACACTATAGTTGAGGCCTCACCAAGAAAGAAGAGTTCTGGTAAACATTTCTGGGCTTTCACTTGGAATCCTTGAAAGCCTTCATCTCAAGAGTAAAGGTGTTGGCGTGGCTGGTAAAAGCTGCCACCTGTGATGCTGGCATCCCATATGGGTACCTGTTTGAGACCATGTTGCTCCACTTCTGATCCAGTTCCTTGGTAATGTACCTGGGAAAGCAGCGGCAGATGGCCAGAAGCTTATGCTCCTACACCTGTGTGGGAGACACAGAGGAAGCTCCTGGATGCTGGCTTTGGTGTGGCCCAGCCCTGGTCATTGTGGCCATTTGGGGAGTGAGCCAGAGGATGGAGGATACTCTCTACCTTTCTCTCGCTCTCTCTCATTCTCACTCTGTAACTTTTCCTTTCAAATAAATAAATAAATAAAAAGGAGTAAAAATAAACTAGAATTACAATGATAGGGTAGCGGGTAAAGCTGCCACCTGCAGTGTTGGCATCCAATATGGGAGCCGGTTCAAGTCCTGGATGCTCCACTTCTGATCCAGCTCTCTGCTATGGCCTGGGGAAGCAGTAGAAGATGGCCCAAGTCCTTGGGCCCCTGTACTCACATGGGAGACCTAGAAGATGCTCCTGGCTCCTGGCTTCAGATCAGCACAGCTCCAGCCATTGCAGCCAATTGGGGAGTGAACCAGAGGATGGAAGACCTCCCTCTCTCTCTCCCTTTCTCTGCTTCTTCTTTTCTCTTTGTGTAACTCTGACTTTTAAATAAATAAATAAATAAAATTATCACCATTAAAAAAACAAAGTTAGGTCAACTCTAAATTAATTCCATGTCTGATTAAATCAAAATGAGCCCTCTATAAGTATATAAAGCGCAGTCTGGTGAAGATACCATTGATCAATATTTCTGTAACTTCCATTTACAATGTCTAGCTTCCAAACAAAAAATTGTTGGACATTAAAGGAGATAAATAAAAAAGAGACAATAAAAATGGAGTAAAAAATGATCCAGATTTCGGATCTAACAGATGTGTATTATGAAATGAGAGGTTACTTCATTTCACCAGAAACATATTTTTCATTCAAGAAGAAATGAAAATTCCATAATAAGAAACTCAATGACAGTAAGCAAAATTTCAGTAAATGAGTATAATAACAAATTAAATACAATGGAAGAGAGGATTGGTTGACTGGAGGTTAGAGCAATAGACAAGGTCTAGTCCAAAGCATACATCAATACATGAACTTCAAAGTGTGATTTAACATATTTCAAATGATAAAGCATTTTTAAGATCAGAGAATTATCTACGATGGAAATGGAATTAACATAAAATTAATAACAAAGAGATACCCATAAATTACACAAAATCTCCATATGCTTTGTAAACAATATACCTCTAAATAGTTAAAAAGTCAAATAAAAAATCTATTTGTATTTCCCTACATACATGGCTTGTACTTATCAGGAAGCCTCTTCAATGAAGAGAGCGCTATCCTAGATACAAGGGAAATATAAATCACTTATAGTCCCATCCACCCCAAGTACACACTTAGTGTGCAGGTTTCTCTCCCAGTTATTGCCTAATTCTTAAAAGGGATTGTGGTAGATACCCTGATGTCAATTCACTTGTTCTTTCCAAAATAACCAAATCTTCATATTTTTTATGAATACTGGAATTAAAGATTATATGTCCAGCCTCTTTTCAGAAAGCTCTGACCAGATGATTTTGCCCAAAGTGATGATAGTAAAAGTGGTATATGAAATTTCAAAGAATGTCTTCCTGATGTTCATTTTCTCCATGCTAATGCCTAAAATGCACTTGCTGTCACTTTGCACTGAGAGGTTCAGACTATGTTCCAAAAATCAATAAGGGCAAAGGAGCCTCACATCTTGCAGTGATATGTATCAGTCCAGGATCATCTACCCAGATTTTACAAGAGAAATTACTCTCTTATGGACTCCAACTATAAGGTTAAGATTTCCTACACTCACTTTTACTCACTGCTGTGCTTGCAGGAGCACATACATGTTTACTCACTGCTTAAACTACTCATATATAATCAAGAGTCTTAATCAGGGTAAGTTGTTAATATTCCTGTACTTCAATACACTTTTAGAGTTATAAGAAAAACAACTTCTCAGGATTTTAATGACCACAAAAAATGAAGATAATGAGATTTCATTTCACTTGAATCCTATAGTCAGTACACACTACATTTTTTATTTGTTCTTTATATTACCATAGGGCCATTTCTAGCCCAACTTATGTGCCTCATTAAGTAAAATGACGACCATAGAATGATTTATTGAGTTAAAATACTATTTTTGTTAAAATATTAGTTTCTACTGGAAATCAAAATCAGCAACTTACACATTTAATATCTCAGAGTTTGCAGTTTACAAATAGGAAACACTAATTTGAGTTTTAGTTCTAGAGAAAG